GATCGCAGATAGCAGTTCAACTTGCTTCTGATATTTAAACTGCATGTAGGAAATGTTTGGAGCACATCTTTTCTCCTTTTTTAACTATTTATTTTGGCTGACCTTAAAGACACCATTTAATCAGAGGTAATTATCTGATCTCCTTGCCTCCACTTCCAAAGTTCTGGGGTTACCACGCATGAGCCAACATGCCAGGTTTTTGCTGTCCTGGGGATTGAACTCAGGGCTCTGAGCAGGCCAGACAATCACTACCAACTGAGCTACATCCCTAAGCTTGTTAAAAAGAATGTCTTAAGAAATTATAACCCTTAGTGGAGTGTGGTGCCAGACGCTTTTAATCCTGGGCAGACAGAGGCAAGCAGATCTCTGAGTTCGAAGGTCTACACCGTGAGTTCCAGGTCAGTCAGAATTACATAGTGAAACCCTGTCTCAAAATAAAGCAAAACAAGGCATGGTAGGGCAAGTGTTTAATCCCAGCACTCTGGAGGCAGGGGCAGGAAAATCTCTGTGAGTTCAAGGCCAGCTTGGATATAGTATGACCCTGTCAAAACAAAAACACACAACCAAACAAGTATAACCCTCTCCAAGTGGCTCATATCTGTACTCCCAGCATCATGGGAGACTGAGGAAGAATTGGCATGAGTTCAAAATTAGATGAAACAAAAAATGAAAAGAAAAAAAAAAAGCAAGAAAATTTAAAATGCAGGGAAGGGGAACTGGAGAGATGGTTCAGCAGTTAAGAGTCTAAACTGCTCTTGCAGGGGACCTAATTTTGGTTCCCAGCACTCACAGCAGGAGTCACACAACCCATTGTAATTCCACCTCCAGGGTGGCTGACCCCCTCTTCTGGTCTGTGTGGTCATCCCTGCTCATTCACACACATCCACATAATCAAAAGGAAAATCAACTCATAAGGCAACCTTGGAAGTGCCCTTCCTCCCTTGGAACACTCCTCTTCAACAGCAGTTTCAAGTGGAGTCTTAGTCTTGCTCAATTTAGCACCTGCAGCCATTTAGGATAAGCTTCAAAATCGAAAGCTGTTGCGTTCTTCCAAGGCTCTTAATTCTGCCTAGAAATTTGGAACTTAACAAGAACCCATGATAATATACGACATATAAAAAGCAAGGGCAGTAAAAGCAGGGTGTTGTGTAGCTGCAATCCCTTGCATTCTGATGGCTGAGGAGTTCTAGACCAGTCTAGGCTTTATGGTGAGAGTCAGTCTCAAAAGCAAAGGCAACTACACACACACACACACACACACACACACACACACACACACACACACACACACACACACCGGTAACTTACAAGATAAAGGATTTTCCCACCATAATAACATAGCAGCTGCCTGGTATTTTAAGGGTCAGTGTGTCCCCCGATGCTTCTTACTCTGCCCATAGCCCTGTTCTGTCTAGGTGGCTGTGAGTTCTTTGTTTGGTTGGTTGGATTTTTTGCTGTTGTTTGTTTTTTAAGACAGGGTTTCTCTGCATAGCCCTGACTGTCCTGGAACTTGCTCTGTAGAAATCCACCCTCCTCTGCCTCACAAGTGCTGGTATCAAAGGCATGCACCACCACACCCAGTTAAGAAGGTTGTGTAAGACCTGCCTGTGATAGGCCTGAGCCGTTGGCTCTCGGGCTTGGAGGCACGTCAGTGCCAGCTCTGAGTGGGTTATTTTCTCAGTGTGGGCTGTACTTGGGAATTACTTGAGGAGCTGTAAAATATGATCCTCTGGGCTGGGGTTACTCAGTCTCTGCTTCTCACAGCCCTGCCTCTGGATGGGACCCTCTTCCCTACTTTCACTTAAGGACCTTATGGTTGCACAGGTCCATATGGGTGATACCTGGTAACCCTCAGTCTTAAAATCCGTCCCCTGGAATGTGGGCAGGAATCTTGCAGGAGGGGACACTGGTCTGCCTGTGAATTAGACTCTAGTACCCCTTTCTCCTGTTGCTTTAGAAATCCATGAAGGAGGGATCTGTGCTCTCTGTTTACTGTCTCCCTCAGACAATCTTGACCTCACACAGGTGACCCATGCGAGCACATATTCTTGTCCCTAATCACTATGCCACTGAAATCTGGGTCGTTCACTGTAACTATAGAATTGTTAACTATAGGCCTGGTAGTGGTGGTGCATGCCTTTAATCTCAGCACCCAGGAGGCAGAGACAAGCTCATGTCTGTGAGTTTGAGGATAGTTTGATCTACAGAGCAAGTTCCAGGACAGTCAGGGCCATAACACAGAGAAACACTATCTTGAAAACCAAAAAAACAAAACAAAACAAAACAAAACAAAAAACAAAACAAAACAAAAAAAAAAAAACCCAAAAAACACCCCAAAAATGAAAATTATTTAATAACTATAAACATATTTTTTTAAAGAACAGTTTGTATCTGGCTATAATTATTTTCACAAACATGGTAACCACATTCCTTCTAAAGAGATATTAACTATGAAAGTTGTTAATGCTCACTGTCTGTTGTGATTCTTTCTATATTCTATCTATCTCATTTTGAGACAAACTTACTCTATAGACCAGGTTGGCCTTGAAGTTGAATTCTCCTGCTTCTTCCCAGGTGCCCAGGTGGTGTCATGAGTTGATTGGCAATGTAATAGCTAGAGAAATTAATCACAGAGAAAAAGATTGTACAGACCAAACCCTGGGCCCTGAGCATGTGAGGCAAGGCACTCCCACATATATTTTTAATTTGCATGTGTGTGTGTGCGCGCGCATGCGTGCAGGTGCATGTGTATTGTGGTGCTGTTTATGGTGTGGTGGGTATTGTATGTGTGTACAAGTATAGGGATGTATGTGGATTTCTGCCTGTGTCTGTACGGTGTGCTGTGTACTATGTGGTGTGTAATTGTGCATGTACATGAGTGTAGGGAAGTGTGTCTGTGTGTGCATGTGTGTACTGTGTGGTGTGTAATTGTGTATGTACATGAGTGTAGGGATGTGTGTCTATGTGTGCATGTGTGTACAGTGTGGTGTAATTGTGTATGTACACGAGTGTAGGAAAGTGTGTCTGTGTACATGTGTATACTGTGGTGTATAATTGTGCATTTACATGAGTGTAGGGAAGTATGTCTATGTGTGCATGTATGTATTGTGTGGTGTGTATTGTGTATGCACATGAGTGTAGGGAAGTGTGTCTATGTATGTACTGTGTGCTGTGTAATTGTGCATGTACATGAGTGTAGGGATATATGTCTATGTGTGCACGTGTAGAAGCCAGAGGGAGACAATGGTGTCTTCCATTTTTTCTGCTCCACCTCCTTTAAATAGGTGTCTCTCACTGTCACGATCTTGGTTGTCAGCTTGACTGGATTTGGAACAGTTGAGCCTCTGGGCTCACTTGTAAGGGCTTTTCTTGATCTGTTCCATAGAGTAGGGAGACCTACCGACTCTGGTGGCAGCCCTCCAAAAAAGATGCTTTGCTTATGAATGCTTGCCTTTGCTCTGGTTGGCACGTTCATCTGTGCTGTAGTGGAACCCAGCTTGACGGAGCTTCCAAAAGGGGCTGAAGACAAGAGGCTCTCCAAGAACCCTCCAGGCTTTAGCATCAGAGTAGGACTGAGAAACTGCCAGGTTCTCTGCCGCTTTGGTGTGAGGCAGCCACTGTTAGTCTACCCAGACTGTATTGTGTAAGCCAACTGAATGCATTTCTTTAAATGTATATCCATTCTACCAGTTCTGTTCCTCTAGAGAACCCCAACTGACACAATGACTGAAATGGAAACTCGTCACTTAGGCTAGGTTAGCTGGCCAGCAAGTTCCCAGGTCCCTCCATTCCTCATTGCTGGGGTTATAAGTATGAAAAGCCATGCCCAACTTTTAGTGGGTACTGGGGATTTGAACCTGGGTCCTTGTACTTCTGCAGCCTACACTCTTAGCCACTGAACCATCTTTGTAGCCTGGCGTCCATATTTTACAGCTCCTCAAGTAATTCCCAAGTACAGCCCACACTGAGAAAATAATCCACTCACAGCTAAGACCAATTAAAGGACTTAACTGTGCAAACAAGGGTTTGTGTTTCCTCTAAGGATCTAGACCAGCTTCAGCCAGTTCCTCCCGAATCCCTTCATTCTTCCCTTATTTATTATTTATTTTGCCGTGTCCTGTCTGCATATATCTCTGCAGGCCTGAAGAGGGCACCAGATCTCATTATAGATGGTTGTGAGCCACCATGTGGTTGCTGGGAATTGAACTCAGGACCTCTGGAAGAACAGGCAGTGCTCTTAACCTCTGAGCCATCTCTCCAGCCCTCATTCTTCCTTTATACTTCCTTTTTCCCCTAGCAATCAAGAGCCACTCTGGAAGCCAGAGGTGGTGGCACAATCCTTTGATTCCAGCACTCGGGAGGCAGAGGCAGGCAGATCTCTGTGAGTTCAAGGCCAGCCTTATCTGTATCATGAGTTTTCAGACAGCCAGAGTTATACAGTAAGACCAGCCTCAAAACCAAACAAACAAGAGTGGCTCTTGAACTATGTCAGTGAGGATCCGAATTCAATTGCTGAGGCCATGCTTCCCTGATATGTTGACCTTTTATGCCTAAAACCACTTTCAAGAATTGGAAAGAGACAGAGTAGCAATAAATCCCCAGTAGGCTGCAAACTACCCTGAGCCAAAGTGCAGTCAAAACCACAGGGATGCTGAAACACTAAAGAGTTGGATGCTGCCTGTCCTGGATCTGTGAACATGTTGCCCAGTGCCCTATTCTCCTAAGGATTGTCTGGTCCCCCAGTAAAACCCACAGTCCTGCTGGGTTTGGGAAAGAGGTTGCATCACCACCAAACCCTGAGTATTATCTTTCACCTGGACAACATTCTTCCAGGAGGGGCCATTTCACAGGGTTACTTAGTGCCAGGCAATGCCTCTGGGTTTAGAGGTTGTTGGATATGGACGATGCGGAGATCAGATCTTATGGTCCACCCCGTCCCTTAATTCTTCGATTAGCTAACTCTTCAAGGAGTCAAACCAAAAGACTAGCACACAACGCCATCAGATTGCAGTTATGTATTCAGTTTCCTATACACTTGAACCACTATGGGCTATGGGAAGGGGAAGAGAAAGTGCTTAAGAGCTGCCTGGCTGGAGGACTGACTTCTGCTAAGACATAGGTTCTAACATATGCCTTACAAGATCATCTTCCTACAGGAGAATCGGCTTCCACAGGGGTAGCAAGGGTTGCAAGGGTCACAGGGGCCGCAGGGGCCGCAGGGGCCACAGGGGCCGCAGGGGCCGCAGGGGCTGCAGGGGCTGCAGGGGTTGCAGGGGTTGCAGGGAGATGTGCAAGGGTAGCAGGGAGATTCGATCTTGACACAGCTGCCGAGCCCGTAGGAGTATGTCACGTCTTTCTCGTCCACACATGGCGGCAAGCTGAACTCTTTGCAGATGTTCATGTAACTGTACTTTTTGGATCCGAGGCAGTCGTACCTGTTTTCCCTCTCGGCTGACACACAGACCTTTCCGTCTTTCACTCGAACTTTGACCTGATCGGGTTCAAAGCCGCACACGTTCACGGACCCTAAGATGTTGCTGCTGCAGCAAGAGGAGGCCAGAATCCTGTTGGTCGTCCTTCTGAGTCTGTGGTTGGGAAGGGAGGGAGGTGGAAGAGCGGTCAGACCCCTGGACTCAGCAGCCCCCTCCCCACTTCCCACTCTTTTGCCTCAAATCAACCTGGTTGGCCATTCAGAGCTTTGTCTAACCCTTAAATCCTGCTCTTCCTGTTATCAGTTGTGGAAACTTGGCCTGTCCCTTAGCCTCTCTGTGACTCGGTTTCCTTCCCTGTGATAATGGTCATAGTACACCACAAGGCCGCTGGAAGGTTAAATGAGATGATGTCTTACTCAGTACTGTGCCTGCTTCGGTATACATCTTGCTTGATTACTACCACGAGCATAACTGTTATCAGACATTGTTTTGTCTTGGTTGACACTGAGGTCTGAGACTCATGCATGTTAGGGAGGCTACACCCCAGCTCAAGGTTCTTTTTACTTTTTTTAAAAAAAGATTTATTTATGTATTTATTTATACAGATCTCATTACAGATGGTTGTGAGCCACCATGTGGGTGCTGGGAATTGAACTCAGGAAGAACAGCCAAACTCTGCATCTTTAAAGATCAAAGCCAGGAATAATAGTGTGTGTCTGTAGATCCAGCTACTCAAGCAGGTGAGGCAGGTGAACTGCTTGAGTCCAACAGTTGGAAGGTAATCTGGTCACCAAAGCATGATCCTATCGTTCAGGCCATCACTGGATAGACAGACAGACACTCCACCAGAAAGCTCACCCACAAACGGCAAAGCAAGAGACCTGTGGTGTGGTTCTTCCTGGGACTAGAAGAGGCCATGGACAGCTGGTGCCAGTGGATCAGATGTGGAGCGATCTCCTTCCCAATGGCATGCTGGCAGGAATCCTATCATCTTGCAAGAGCTTGCTGTGTGTATGTTTCCCCACAGCTTGAAATCACTCATGAGAGGGTTCATGAGGGTGAGTGGAGTTAGCTACAAATTGTGGCCTGAAGAGCTGGCTGCTGAACATCACTGCTGTGGTTGTCACTCAACAGTCCTGCTGTCTAAATTGAGGAATTAGGGTACATCAAGAGGCAGGAAAGTTGGGCTGGAGAGATGGCTCAGTCGCTAAGAGCACTTGCTACTCTTCCAAACGACCCAAGTTCAGTTCTCAGAACCATGTCAGGTGGCTCACAACTACCAGCAACTCACTCTGGGGGACCTGGCAACCTCTTCTGGTCTCTGAGTACCTGCACTCATGTGCACATGCTCACACAGAGATAACCATGAATGAAAATAACTCTTCCATCACATCTGCTGTGCAGATAAGTTACTGAGCTTTCCTACGCCTCGTTTACACTTGGATGATAATGAGCGACCTGCCTACTGCATGGTGAGGCTTGCCTGATGCATGAAATGCATTTACAAAGGTGCTTGATGCTCAACTAGGATGCGAGGACTTTGTTTTCCTTTTTCTTAAAATGTTCCCTTACACGTGTATTTAAATACATTCTTCTTAAGTTACATAAGTTCACTGTAGAAGATACAGGGTATATAGATAAACTAAAGTACTTTTTAAAAATACTCGAACACTCTAACACGCGCGCACATGCATGTCTGTGGTGATTTCTACATACACATCGATAGATTTATGTGTTTTTATGAAATCATGCTATGTATATACTTTTAATTTGTATTTCTCACTTGATAAAACTTCATGAGACTGGCTTAATAATGTGAATTACTACTCTTGTATTGAAAATTATAAAGTAAGACTCGGCTATGACCAATAGAACTCATTCCTCGAGGACATTGACACAAATAGATCAGATGACAGTCAGAGCCCTTCACATCCATTCTACACTGGCCCTGGGGAAACTGAGGATGGTGTGTGGTAGATGTCCTTGCCCTGTATGTTCCAGCCTGCCTTAGGTCATACCAAAAAGAAAGGAAGACGACTGGCCTCTTTGAAATTACTGTCTGTGAAGTCAGTAGACTTAGCCCCATCTCTCTCTGGAAGGGCAGAGAGACCCTCACAGAGGTGTAGGGAACTAGCCTGGACACCAGCCCTCTCTGGCTGGATCATGACTTGAAGCAGCCATAGGCATGTGTGAAGGGACTCTCAAGACTTGCTTATGATATGTGAAGGCACATGTGCATATGTGTGCAGGTGAGTGGTGTGCGTATGCACAGGTGTGTGTGCATATATGTGTGTGGTGTGTTTATGCCAGTGTGTGTGCCTGTGTGCATGCATGTGTGTGGTGTGTATGTGTGTACATTTGTGTGGTGTGTGCACATGTGTCTGTCTAAACACACACAAGGAGAGTCAGTCTTGGTTAAATGGGAAGCATCAAATCCTGACATTATCGATAGTAGAGATGGGCTGGCGTTAACAAAGCAAGCTGAGAATCCCGAGCAGGTTCCCTAACCCTCAGCTGATTCTTCAGGACAAGCTCAGTCTTCTCACCACAGAAGCTGGGGCCTAACCTGGGGACCTGACTTGTCAATCACAGCCAACTTTCAGATCTGTTTCCTCTTAGACAACCAGGTCCCAGCAACAGTTAAATGTATTTTATTACTGGCCCCTCCTCACCATCCTCTGTTCCTGTCACCTTGGCTCCTTTGACCCTGCAGTAGCTGTCCAGGGGTCGCACACTGTCCAGAGATCCCACAGTTTGAGTCTCTAGAAGACTGTCAAACTCTCGGCAAGGCCAGTTTCTTCATTTCTACTTTAGTGGTTATACTCCTGTGCCCTGTCCCCACTCCCTTGGATTAAGGGAAGCTTGTTAGCTTGGGGTAGGGGGACTATGCCTGTGCACAGAGCTCCCTACTTTTCTCCTGGTCTCAGCTGTGTTTACTCCCATGTCCATCCACACCCTTGAATGCACCCTACCTTCCCTGTAGCGTTTTATACTCAACTGTCTCCACAAAGTTCAGTTTTAACCTGGAGAGGGAGAAAGTAACAAAGGCCTGACCCTGAAGAGTACACACAGGCAGGCTCCCTCTAGACTTCACTTGGATGTTCTTTTTCTCTTGAATTTACACCCATTCCAAAGAGCTACCTAAAGACTGGAGAGATGTCTCAGTGGTTAAGAGCACTGACTGCTCTTCCAGAGGACCCGGGTTCAATTCCCAGCAACCACATGGCAGCTCACAACTCTAACTCAGTTTCAGGGGACCTGATACCCGTGGCAAAAACACCAATGCATATAAAATAAAAATAAACAAATTAAAAACTAATCATCCCAGATGAAAAGATTAATTAAGCCGGGCAGTGGTGGTGCACACCTTTAGTCCCAGCACTTGGGAGGCAGAGGCAGGTAGATCTCTGTGAGTTTGAGACCAGCCTGGTCTACAGAGCAAGTTCCAGGACACCATCCAAAGCCACAGAGACACCTGTCTTGAAAAACAAAAATGAACAAAAGAGATTAATTACAAAAAACCCAAAAAGCTACCTAAACTCTGCTCTTCCCATCTTTATCTTAGTCTTCACCTGCCGCCTCCTGCCCCGGCCCCATGCATATGTTCTTGCGTGCACATAATGTGTGTGGAGGCCCAGGTTGACGTCAGGCAACCTTAGTTTTTGAGACAGGGTTCTCTGGACCTGGACCTCACTGATTAGACTACACTAGCTGCCAGCACCCCCAAGATCCTGCTGTCTCTGCCTCCCCAGGGCTGAGGTTACAGATGCCACAGCACCCAGCTTTTTTATGTGGGTGCTGGGGATCTGAACTCAGGTTCTCATGCTTGTGGGGCAAGCACTGGAGCAACTGAGTGTCTCCTCAGCCCCTCTCGGCTTTCTCCTTCTGGGGTACACAACTGCCCTCTGCAGGGGGAGCAAGCTGAGTGGTGTAGGTGAACCCTTCTTCCAGCAGGGCTCACGAAACACAGGCGTCTGCTTCCCACCTGAGTTCTAGATCCACTAGGTTGGTATAAAGCTGTGACTACTCCTTCTAGAAAGTTCTGGGTAATGCTGCTAACACTGGTTCATGGCCACACCAAAAACTGACAGGTGGCTGTGCACCCATGTGCTAGACTCTACCAATTCCTAGTCATCAAAAACACTATTCCTTAATGTTTCGTCATAAAATAACTGAGACAATAGCCAACTGGGTATTAAACAGGAGATGCTCGGTACCTAGTTTTCATTCCATGAGCTGTAAGTCATCTTTATCAGGCTGTGTAGGCTCTACCTTAAATAGATTTACCTTAAATCTGAGACCTTCAGTGAACAAATCCCAAGCCTGTATTATTAAACAAAAGGGTTAAACCAAATAACAGGTGTGCTCCTGAGACTGGAGGGTAATTCAGTGGCAGGATTCTTGCTTAGTATACACAAGGACCTGGTGTTAGTATTCCAGCATCCTTACTGGTCTGCTGTGGGGTCCTGACAGGACACGCCTCAGCTGCAGCCACTAAGAGCACCTCCTGTGCACACTCACTATGTTCTCTTTGAAAAGGGCCCTGCCCACCACCTCCCGTCTTCCTCCCTCCCTCCCTCCCTCCCTCTCTTTTTCTCTCTTTCTTTCTTTCTCTCCCCCATTCTCTCCCTCCCTCCCTTTCTTTTCTCTCTCTCTCTCTTCCCCTGCTCTCTCCCTCCCTTCCTTTTTCTTTTCTCTCTTTCTTTCTTTCCCCAAGTTCTCTCTCTCTCCCTTTCCCCTCTCTTCCTTTCTTTTCTCTCTTTCTGTCCCCCTGTTCTCTTCCTCCCTCCCTTCCTTTCTTTTCTTTCTCTCTTTTCTTTCTCTTCCCCTGTTCTCTCCCTCCCTTCCTTCCTTCCCTCCTTTCTTTTCTCTCTCCCTCCCTCCCTCCCTTCCGTCCTTTCTTTCCTCTTTCTCTCTTTTCTCTCCCTCCCTCCCTTCCGTCCTTTCTTTCCTCTTTCTCTCTTTTCTCTCCCTCCCTCCCTTCCTTCCTTTCTTTTCTCTCTCTTTTCTCTCTCTCCCCATTCTCTCTTTCTCTCCCCTCCCTCCTTCCCTCTCCCCTTCCTTCCTTTCTTTTCTCTCTTTCTGTCCCCCTGTTCTCTCTCTCCCTCCCTCCCTCCCTTCCTTCCTTTCTTTTCTCTCTCTTTTCTTTCTCTCTCTCCCTCCCTCCCTCCCTTCCTTTCTTTTCTCTCTCTTTTCTTTCTCTTCTCCTGTTCCCTCCCTCCCTTCCTCCCCCCCTTTCCTTCCTCCTCTGTCCTGCTGCTCCTGTTTCCAGAAGCTGGTCTTCCCCCTTCCCTTCCCTCTTCTTATGATCCCTTTCCCTAATAATAAAGAACCAAACAAACCCCCTCTGCTTGAACCCTGTTCTCATGGCATCTTTCTCCCGAGCACCACTTTCCTTAAATTACAATACCTGGGTTTTATTTCAGGCACAGGAAATAAAATTAAAAATCGCACTTGACCTACATGGGTGTCAGTGCTTCCTGTGTAGTCGAGTGATGATGATGTGCTCTGAGACCCAGGGGTTTGGAAGATAGAAAGAACTAAAGAGGCAGCTTTACTTCCACCTTTCAGTGGACGCAGAAGCAGCCAGGAGGGGAAAATCAATTCTTTGGTAGCCCTGAAACCTCTGCCTTGCTGGGTGCTGGTGGCGCACACCTTTAGTTCCAGCACTCAGGAGTGGGGGCAGAGGGAGTGGGATCTCTGTGAATTCAAGGCCAGCCTGGTCTACAGAGCGAGTTCCAGGACAGGCTCCAAAGCCACAGAGAAACCCTGTCTCAAAAAACCAACAAAACAAAAAAACCTCTGCCTTGCCCCATTGACTGAGTAGATTCAGTGAAAACCTCAAACTCAGTGTGAAAGTAACGAGAAGAGAAATATTTGAGGTTTTAAGATGTCATATTTTGAGTGTGGGGTTCTCCAGGGAATTTATTAAGAGTCAGGCTAACCACAGATTCTCAGGTAAGTGGATGGAAGTAAGTCTTGGGACTGGTGCCTAGGTACCAGGCAAGGGCACAGAGGTTGAGCCCAGTGCAACTCAAGGGCACAACTCCAAACTGAGGTGCACAGGGTTGCAAGTACTCATGCCAGATGTCAGTGTCACCACAGGCATTCATTAGCCTGAATTACAGAAGGATGGGGCTTAGTTAGTTTCTCTAGCTTTAGTACAAGAGACAGAAGCCTGTTAAGAGTGGATGTATAAGCTTAACTCAGGCTGGTGGCATGGCTTCGTGAAAGAAAACCAAATTCTGGCCAGGCGGTGGTGGTGGTGGTGGTGGTGGTGCACGCCTTTAATCCCAGCACTTGGGAAGCAGAGGCAAGTAGACTTCTGTGAGTTCGAGGTCAGCCTGGGCTACAGAGCTAGTTCTAGGACAGCCAGGGCTACACAGAGAAACCCTGTTTTGAAAAGGAAGGAAGGAAGAAAGGAAGAAAGGAAGGAAGGAAGGAAGGAAGGAAGGAAGGAAGGAAGGAAGAAGACAAAACCAAATTCTGTCACGGCCATTCCCTTGAATCAGAAAGTGAGGAAAGAGGCCGGCGACTGACTATTGGAGCTTGGAGTGTAAAATATAAAATCAGGAAAATCCCAAAGCAGCTAAGGAAACAGAAGAGCTGTGGGTCTGGTCCCTGCTAAGGAAGACACTGTCTTCTAAAACAGAGACTTAAACAGTGGTAATGGGCAGGACTTTTTAACCCTCATCTAAAAACAGCCCACTGTACACATACATACATCACCCAGCAGAGACTTGCAGAGGGAATTAAAAAACATATTCCAGTCTTTTTACCAAGCAGGAGGAAACATTGGAGACATAGAAGACATTCACACAGGGAGAAAAAGTTCAGTGTAGTTGAGGCAATTGCAGATCAAGGACAAAGAACCTTCTGGACAACAGTCAGACGTCTGAAAAGACATCTCACAACTCACTGATTCCCAGACATTCCTTCAAGGGGTGAAAAGTCACACAAATATGAATTCTTAAACTCAAAAAGCTTTCAGCACGGCTTCACACCAAAGATGGTTTTAAAAAAACAAAACAAAACTGAATGGAGGCTTTTCAAAATCTATTCCGTCATGGGTCAGGAGCTGGATTGAAGACAAAGAAAAAGAAGGCATTTCACTGAAAGAAAAAAGAAATTAGTCATGAGTCCTTTGTGATTGGAGCTCAGATCTAGGCTTTACTTTCTTTTACCCCTATTCAGGAAAAATGAAGCTGTAGGACAGGAAAAACCAGGCTGTTGGAACTAGAGCATGGGGCTTTTACAGAGCGAGGATTGGAAGAAAAATGCTAGAGAAGAGATAAAGCGGGCAACCTGAGGGTTCAGGAACTAAGTAAGGACACCGCCCACTTCACACATGTTGCCTGCACTGAGACACAGGCACTATCAGGAAAAGCACCCCAGACCCGAGGAAGGCTGCTCTCTCTGAGTCAGTCTACTGAGAGTAAGGCTTGAGGCTGAGCCTACTGAGTTCTGGGAAATTGTCTTGTGGGAAGAAGGCAGGAGGGCACAGACATTGGACAGAAAAAAAAAAAAATCTGTCCTGGAGTGTAGGAAGTCAGGCAGGCAGATGACCAGGACAGAAGGATTAAGAGCCATGGAGAGGAGACACAGAGCCTCTCACAAAGAACACTTAATATTTGGAGCAAATATTAACCGGTCCCTACTTCATAGTGTGAGTTCAATAACTTGACATCCTCAGGGGTAAAAATAAATGTTGGTTCAAAATTGTAGGTACATTTGTAGGTGAATACTCCATCCCCAGTCGCCAGGTAGGTCAGCTCCTGACCTTGTGACTGATGACATAATCAGTGATTGTCCTATTACCCTTCTCAATAAAACATCACAGTCACTGTTGCCAAGGGCCTGTGTCCATCCACACACCCTTTAATCATTCCATTCATCCATCTATTCATCTATCATCTTCCCATGTATCTTGTCCATCCACACACCCTTTAATCATTCCATTTAAACATCTATTCATCTATCATCTTCATGTATCTTGTCCATCCACACACTCTTTAATCATTCCATTCATCCATCTATTCATCTATCATCTTCCCATGTATTTTCTATATTTTTAAGAACAATCCCCTATTGAACACGATTTGCCTGCCCTTTGCCTTTTCACTTAATGTATCCATACATAAAGAACTTTCCAACTTTTTGTCCCCCCTTTTGAAATCTTTTGAAACAGTCTCACATAGCTCAAGCTGGCCTCATACTCATAATGTAGCAGAAGTTGGCCAAGAACCTATGATTTTCCCACCTCCGCCTCCCCTCCCAAGTGCAAGAACCTACAGGAATCAGTCACCTGGCCTTGTTCTTTAATCCTTTCCTCCGATTCTAGTGAATGGGTGCACAGTCACTTATATAACCAGGGGACAATGTCCCCCGTCTATATAGACTATAGGTATAAGCAAAAAGTTAGGAAAGGATTACAGAAAACAACTCCCCCTGTTAAATTACCCAACTCACTGTCACCTGTCCCTTCTGAGGTGGAGGGCGAGGCCAACAGAGCAGCCCTTCCCCTAGATAAACCCTGCCTGAGACTGGATAGGAGAAAGATTTCCACACACAAGGAGAATGTCTCTAGAGTTCAGTCCACTCTCTACCCCTGAGGCTTCTGGCAAACGTTACTGATTTGATCAGTGATTATGACTCCTCCTGAAGTCATTTCTGAAAGTCCAAAAAACACTCAGGACCCTTCCATCATACCCAGAGGAAATGTTGAGCTTGCTGCTTCCATAGCTTTTCAATGACACCCCCTATTTCTTTCCTTCATCAAGGCCACCTTATTGACCATGGCATTGACCATGGCACTCTTGCCATAAGCCCCCATCAACCTTGCCAGCCCACCACCTCACATTGTCTCTGGAGAGCCTCACTATGGCCTTACCTTTCTTCTCTAAGCCTTGCCTAGGTTACCCGAGTCACTGTCTTGATCCCCTTCTATGTCTATTCAATTGTCACTGTCCCCGCTGTCCCCCTCCCTCCCACCGCTGCGGCTGTTATACTGACTACGCGACCTATGGCTACATCCTCTCACTTGGCCAACTCTCTTTTCTCATCCTCAATGGCGCAGATAGCTTTCCTCTCTAAGCTGCGGAGTGATGGTCGAAGGCAGTACAGCTTGTAGTCACACAGGCAGCACGGGTAGTAGAGGTCGCACAGGCCGCAGGAACGGGACCGCTTGGAGTAGCAGAGGCAGTAGGGGTAGGGGTGTAGGTCACAGCAGCAGTACGGATGCATGTACAAGTCACACAGGCAGCGGGAACTCAGTTCGTCGATACATCTCAGTTGCCTTAATTCTCTGTCCACCTTCTTTATGTCCCTCCTAACACTGTCCAAAAGACAACTCAGTGCAGCCATTACGGTCACACCTTATTGTGCTGTGAGTACCCTTGGGGAATGGCACTCAGAGGAAAAAAATTGTTCTAAGCTCTGCTCAGAGGCCTCCTTTAAAATTAAATGAGCTGCACATGACTCCCTTACTTTAAAGCTTGGGTTCTGTGACCCCGCCCACCCTTAAGTATGTCATAGTCTCCTGGTTACCATGCCAACTGCAAACACAAAGACCTCCTCAGGGCTACTCCCAGAGGACCTACTCACACTGAGGTTCATTCAGCTCAGTTTTAGTGGGGCTCTCTAACAGTCCCAGCCCTTCGGGGTTCACGGACTAGCCTTTAGTGTCCTTGACTTGTATGTGTTAAGAAGGTATGACATGGGTGTGACTGTGACCCTGATAAGTGGCAGGAGTTGCCTGGCTCTGGTCTCTGTGCTTTCTAGTTCTAGCCCTGAGCCTTGTAAGGTTGATTTTGCCCATAGACAGTTAAAGTGTAAGGAACTTTCCTGCTGGTCCTTTTCTCCTACCAAGTCAACGTCAAGTCTCCCATTGTCCTTGACTTTCTCAGTCCCAAATCTCTGAGTCCTACCCATGATTTTTATTATTTTCCTGGTGCCAGGAATCAAACCCAGGGCCTCATACACCATAGACAGCTGCCCATCCTTCATCAGATGGGTTCTAGTTAACTAGGAACATCAGTTCCCAACTCGTCCAGGGCCCATATGCTCTCATCTCCTAATGTCTTCAGGCCCCACCTCCCGGCAAGGATACCCGTGGTCTTGTTTCTAAGCCTTGATGTGTCTGGCCCCTGAGTGCCTCCCAAGCATTGGCTCTGGTCCTCTTCCAGCCTGAAACCCTTGCTTCAGCTGCTGCCCGTGTTGTAATATAGATCAACCTTTCTAGACCACACACTGGGCCTCAGATTGGACTTGTACTTCCTATCTACTTTTGTCCCTCAGACCACTTCCAGCTCTCAACTCCCCTTTTCCTAGACTAAGACCTAGTGTAGTGGCATCTTGCCTTGCCAGTGAACTTGTGTAGTGGCCATACCCTTTGGGGAGAATGGCTCAGGGGTTAAGCACTCTGGCTGCTCTTCTAGAGGTCTTGAGTTCAATTCCCAGAAACCGCATGGTGGCTCACAACCATCTATAATGAGATCCCAGCGAAGGCACGTGAGGACAAAGGAGAGGTGACTCCAGAGAGGGAACTAAGGGCTAGGTTTGAAGACCATGGCAAGAGGGTTGTACTCTTATTTTGAGTTCAATAAAGGATCATTGGTTATCTATCCTCCCCAATCGATAGCTGCTATAAGGAGACCAGCCCCGATGAAGCCGGGGCTGGTGGTTCGGGGCTGGTGGTTATGGTTCAAATAGCATAAGAAGGAAGCTGGAGCTGGAGAGATGGCTCAGTGGTTAGGAGCATTTGCCCCCTTGTAGAGGCCTGGGTTCAGTACCCAAGACCCGCATTGTGATTCAGTCATTGTGACTCCAGTTCCATAGGAGCTGGTACCATCTCCTGACCGCCACAGGTACCGAACATGATCATGCACATAAATACATACAGGCAAAGCACACATAAAGTAAACTGAGTAAATAAGGCAGCCAGCTGGGTGGTGGTGGCACTCGCCTTTAATCCCTGTACTTGGGAGGCAGAGACAGGCAGGTCTCTGAGTTCAAGGCCAGCCTGGTCAACAGAGCAAGTTCCAAGACATGCTCCAAAGCTTCACAGAGAAACCCTGTTTCGGAAAAACAAACAAACAAACAAACAAAGGCAGCCAATGGGCTCAATCTCCCCTCACTCCCCTCAAGAGAGGGAACTAAAAATCTGATTTTGCATATAAATCTGTCACCCCTCAGTGTCCTTACTTTTCACCTTAAAACTCACTCGCTCACTCTGGGAAGGCCATACCCCACACTTTCCCCTTTATTTGGACCCGGTTTTCAATCAAATTCATTACTTGCTCTCTTGCCTGGCTATCCGCAGAAAATCTCTGTCCCATCACCAAACATTTATAATCTCTCTCTCTCTCTCCCTCCTCTCCTCTCCATCCTCTCCCCCTCCTCTCTCTCTCCCTTACACACACATACACACTCTCTCTCCCCCCGTCTCTCTGTCTCTCTCTGCCTCTCTCTGTCCCCTCTCCTCTCTATCCTCTCCCCTTCATCTCCTCTCTCTCTTCCTTACACACACACACACTCTCTCTCCCCCTGTCTCTCTGTCTCTCTCTGCCTCTCTCTGTCCCCTCTCCTCTCTATCCTCTCCCTTTCATCTCCTCTCTCTCTTACACTCACTCTCTATCTCTCTCCCTTCCTTGACAAGGTCTCATATAGCTCAGGTTAGCCTTCAGCTCACTACATAGCTGAGGATGACCCATATCTGATCTGCTTGACTCTCCCTTGAGTGCTGATATTCATATGTGCACCACCACACCATGTTCATGAGGTGCTAGGAACTGACCCGGAGCCTCCCACATGTTAGGCAAGCACTCTACCCACTGAGTTACATCCCCAGCCCACATGTTCCTTACACGACATTGTCTGTTTCCAAAACTAGACAGGATATTGACTGGTTTTGCTCACCAATAGCTACCTAACACAAAGTACATCATAGGTGCTTAGCATGAACCACCAAATGAACAAATAAGCAGAACTTAGTTAACAGAATGAAAATGGAATGAAAGAGAAGTCAGTCATGACTCTGGAGTGTGTAGCTTAGCAGGCTCGCAGTGTCTCTGAGATAATTAACTAGGGGTAGAGAGTGGTAAACAAGAGGCTAGTGGCAACTTCCAGGTGTGGAGGGGACTCATGGATAAGCGACCTCAGAGGTACAAACCAGGGAGACACAATGTATAAACGGCTCATGAATGGGAACAGGGTGGAGACAAACCATTGACGCAAAAGAACCAGGACTAGGGGGTATCACGGAGCTCATGAAAATCTCTTAGGGGTCACCAGAGAGGCCATAGTCCCTAAGCCCAAGTTGCTGTGTGTTGTCAGCCTGACTTTCCCAGTGTGCTGCCGCCTTGGTCTAGAAGGCCCCCTTCTGTGACGATGACACCCACAGAGGAGGGAGAGGAAGCTGGCCACCTGGGCCAGCTAGAAGGAGCCAAACAGCAAGCCTGAGCTCTGCTTCTCTAGGGACACAAACTAACCCTTCGCAGGTGGCCCCATGCAGTTCTGTGGGGTGGCCTTTGTTAACAGGGACACGGCCTATAGGCATGTGCAGATGTCTCCATCAACTTCAAGTGAAAAGACCGCTGAATTCTCATGTCCCGATGAATGTTCCATGATTAGTAAATGTCAGCTGAGGTCTGGACACAGGCAGTTCTTGTTTTAACTGGTTAAGTAAATGTCTTTCAGAGCTGAAACATACATCTAGGTCTACAGGGCATGTTATTAAGATAGCCCCGGCTTCGTTTCAACTGGGATTCTCCCATTATCTCGCCTCCCTACTAATTTCACTCTTCCATCATGAAACACATTTTTAAAACATCATTTCAAGTGACTGCGTGAATATGTTCAAAGAGTCGATGGAACAGTTGTGCTGGCTCACACTGGTAGGATGAGCCAAAGGGGTATATGCAGAAGACTCATGAGTCAAGGCTAGCCTGGGCTACATTATTGCTGCGTATAGTGATGCAGGTCCTAGTACTTGGGAGGGTAGCGATAGATGGATTTCTGTGAGGTTGGTGATAGCCTGGGCTACATAGTGAGCCGTCTCAAATCAAAACAAGACAAAAGATCAGGCGGGATTATAATCCTTCCACACCAGAAGGATAAGGCTGAATGTAGACAGAGGGTTTTGTCTTGCCCAGTCCCGCAGCCATTTAGCCCCAAATAAACACACAGAGGCTTTTATTAATTATAAACTATTTTATTAATTATAAACTATTATTAATTATAAACTATGATGGTTTAGTTTCTTCTTATTGGCTAGCTCTCTCTTAATTATTAACCCATAACTATTAATCTTTGTATTTCTACATGGCCTTACCTTACCAGAGAATGCCCAGTATCCTATCTTTCGGGTAGCTGTATGGTGTCTCCCTGGTGGCGTCTCTCTGCATTTCTCTTCCCAGCATTCTCATAGCCTGGTAGCCCCACCCATACTTCCTGCCTGGCCAATCAGCATTTATTCATCAACCAATAAGAGAAACTTATACCTACAGCATACAGGACATCCCCCATCAGCTGAAGTCATTAGAATCTGCTAAAACTCCTTAAGGAAAAGCTATTGGCTTATTAACATAAGCACGTTCATGGGCTCTAATGCAGAGGTAGGGGCTATCCATCACACAAGCTTATGTTCATGGACATGCCCTCTCACCCTGGTTGGCACCTAGACAGACCCTCCTCTGGGACAGAGGGTGGCAACTTCCCAAGCCAGGAACACTTGCCTGCTCCCAGTGTTAGCAGAACTGTGTGCCAAAGTCAGCCTCTTCTACTCCTCCACTCGGCAAGACAGGGACAGGCCAAGTCCATTCACTAAGCCAAAGCTACAAAAGTAACCATCTAGTGGGGAGATCAACACACAGAGCATAAACATCAAACCCCAAATTATGTGCTCGACATGGCTTTAATTCTGTTGAAAAGATTGAAGGAGAGGGTGACCCCTTAAAAAAATGACTGTAATTCTCTCTGAGAAGCAGAATATAGGTGGCTCTTAAAATCCTCCTTCCTAGGGCTGGGAGTACAGCCCACAGTAGAACTGTGAGAGGCTCTAGGTTCGATCCCCCAAAAACAAACAGAAAATGTATTTTTTGTGTGTTATTTGTGTGTGTGTGTGCACATGAGTGTGTGTGTGTGCACATGAGTGTGTGTGTGCACATGAGTATATGTGTGTGTATGAGTGTGTGTGTGTTTGTGCATGTGCACATGAGTGTGTGTGTGGTTAGTCTATTATTTGCCTGTGTGTGTGCACATGAGTGTGCGTGTGGTTACATGTGCCTATCCTGTTGCACATGTGGAGTGGTCAGAGACAACTCTGTGGAGCCACTTCTCTCTTTCCACCTTTACATGTGTTTTGGGGACTGAGTTCAGGTCACCAGGCTTGCGCAGGGGCAAGTACTTTTACCCCACGAGCTGTCTCACCAGCCCTGAAATACTTTTGCTATTACATGCGTAGCCCTCTGTAAGGAATAAGGTTTTTCTGCCCGCCGCTGGTCTTCTACCGCCACTG